AAAACTATAACTTCTTAAATGTTGAACTGAATGCTAAATTCGAAATCAAATCAGCTCCAAAAACTGTCCTAGAAACATGTAAAACTCGAAAAGGTGAACCAAGGTCATTAAAGGTCAGTGACCTTGACCTAATTTTCACGTGACCTTGACACCCACCAATCACCATATTGCATGTGACCAACATCACATCACATGTTTGAACGCTTGAAACCACGAAAAGACAGCAAACGCGCTGCTAGTGCGCGCCGACGTACGCCGAATCACGATTCCGGCCAAACATGGTCTCGTAATAATAACTTAATATCAGATGCTGATTTACCGCTACTCAGTCAAGTTGGAGCCATTTCTTCTTGGCCGCGGTCACCGGTCCAGGCCACCACATAATCGTATTACACCGCGCTTGCTCAATGCTCAGTTCGTATTGTAAAAGCACTGCGGCACAGCATAGATGCAGGCGCTCTGCTACTGCCATCTATGGGTGAAAGATGAAGATAATGGTTATTGCGGTACAGTATCACTACAGGCGCAAACAACGTGGAAACAAAGATGCCTATGCTGCGCTATCGGGCGATGGTAGCGTAAATTTGCGTTGCTGGGCAGCTAAAAGTTTTGGAGCCCGATTTTTACAAAAGAAATGGTTTGCCGTTTTAAAGACCGTATCAAACAATCTGCGGTTACCCTCAATTCTTGCTTTGAGATAATTGGTGATTTGTTTATCAAACTGTGGTACTAGCTATTGCCAGCACATAACGAACTTCTTCAGGCGACACCGCTCGTCTATGTTTTGTGTCCTTTGCCTCACGTGAGGGTGATGGGTACCTACTGGAGTAGGCAAAAGTGATAGTTATCATCTCCCATTTTCAAATGGATCAGCACCTAAATGGTGAGCCGACCAGGGGGACCGACGAACGTTGTTGTTGTCGTCATCATCGACCATAGGTGGCCATCGACCATCGACTATCGACCATCGACTATAGGCCAACGTTTTAGACCGATTGTTCAGTCTGTGTAGCTATGACGGGCATTATAACTTTTCCTAAGGTAAGGCCACTTGGACGTAACCTGGTGACCTAACCTTGAGTGACCTGGGTCTGAAAGTTATGCAGCATGTGTGAAAAAGATTCATGAAAGGGTGTGCTAAAAACGGCGGCGCTCCACAACGCCGTTTTCGAGATATTTACATAAACCTACATGGGGTGTCCAAGCATCCCCACCGTTCGGCGCGGATAATTTTTTGCACGTGCAGAGCGCACCTTTGGGGTCCACCAGGAGATAGATATGCTCAATAACTATGCTGGAATGCATTCTGGGTGGCCTGTGTAAATTTGGCACTTTGAGCTTGCTAGCGCTACCCGCTCTGCCCGTATATGTGACACAGAGTGCAACATCAAAAGGTTTGCACGTGCACAGCACGTGCACCGTGTACCCCAGCACATCTATTTGCACAGCGCCTTAAAGCGCTCGTCCAGTAGTGTCAGTGTGCCAAATTTGGTGTGCCTAGGTCAAGGTTATCCGGAATCGGAGGATGCATCCTCAAAACATGTTTTTCGCCCCTGGCGCGTGCATTCCGCACCCCCTGCTGCCGAGCATACCATATGGTAATGGTCAAACACCGGGACATGTGACCTGTGAATTTGGCACCTGTGCCGTCCACCGTTTAATTTGGAGCGTCGCTTAAAGGTTTTTGCCCTTCCCGACTTTGTCGGCACGTGGCACGCGCCACGTGACACCGAATGACCTGTGTCATGCATCATCACCTGCCTCAAAGCATTACCCATCGAACGGTACCACCAGCATCTCGATCCGATCATCCGTTTAGACGCAATTCCAATTGTAATGGTTCGTAGACCTTTCAGAGCACGGGTTTTTGGCAACGTAAAATGGCGCCTTGTCGGCTTCACTATCTTCCATAGGAGGTCCATTGGGATCGTCAGTCCAGTTTATTTATACGTCCGTGTTTTTACAGAAATCAACGAACACCGGCAGCCGGCTTGGCACGTTTCGAAATCAGACTGGTCGGCTCGGTCGGCTAGTCTCAGACTTGCGGTAGTTTGGAAAAAGGTATAGACATACGACTCATAATGAGAAACTGTGAATCGAAAATGCTTCCACACGGGGTCTAGCCATAGGCACTAAACAAATTATTAAGATAATCACGTGGATGACCTGTTTGCAGACCTACAAAAGTAACACACGGATTGGCATTTTGTTTTACGTTTATTTCTGTTGAGTACAAAAAGAAACATTAGCCAGCATATCTGCCGTCTATTACAATGCTGATCGATCGATTTCCACATTGAGAAAAAGTCGGGTATGCGCCTACTAAATCTGGAAACTTATAAAAAGACGGCTGAAGTTTGTACGTAGCATGCGAGAACACAATGTAAGACAACAATATGGAACGTCACCAGCTTCAGCAGCTAACAATGACATGTTGTCCATGAGCTTGCCGTTCAGAATTCCGGCCCCCGACAGATTCTGTCTTGAATGTTTAAAAGATTTTCCGCTTGCTAGTTCCCCCATTAGATTTGCTCACACACACTAAGGATAGGCTCCCACGTTGCTATTGCTTCCGGGTTCACATAAACCGGCTTAAAGGAAATAGTTCACTTTCACGAAATTATTTTTTTTGCAATGGATTTATGATTTTTTATGTTCAAAATGATCAGCAAAGAAAATAAAACCTATTTATAACAAAAGATTATTTTCTATATTTTGATATAAGAAGAACTTTTCAGTTTCTGTAAGGCACAGGCGATCCAGTATGAAAAGAGCATGGGTTCCGAAAATTCTTCAGAAACTAGAGAAATTATCGCGGCCACCGGCATTTGGGCGATCTGCTGCTGCTGAATGTCCTTATTGATCAGTACGAGAATTTCTCTTGAGTTCTCGTAGATAATTTCACTAGTTTCTGAAGAATTTTCGGGACCCATGCTCTTTTCATACTGGATGCGAATATATGCAAGGCACACATCCTGGGACGAGAAATAGAATATCTTTGCCTAGGGTGATCGTTGGGCTGTAAAAGCTCCTGATTTATGCTCGTCTCAGCCCAAGCTACGGAACTGCTATTCCAGTTCAAAACCCATGTTAAAAAGTGAACTATTTCCTTTAACGTAAAACATTGTTCCTGGCCAAAATTGCCAGATGTAATGACCCCCGGCTCCAGACTGGCTTTAGGCTGGCGGAGCAAAAAAAAAAAAGTTTCTCAAGTGATGGGCTGGCTGTGGAATCAAGGTTACTGTAGGTAGGTCTAGGAGTGACGTTAGATTAGCATGCAAAATTAACAGAATGGCTCAAATCTATAAATTTACTAACATTCTGAAACGTGACACAGTTTATAAGCTAAATTCACGCTAAATTGAATAACTTGCTCCGTTGCACTGTGCTTATCTTTCAAAAATGGCCGAGAAATTCATCTCAGCTAGCGTTATTTTCTAGCGTCTCGCACGTGCCAACTCCAAATTAATACTTCGGGCCATGAGCCTTTTGAAAAAAATGGACTATAGTTATATTATTCGATCCATCATGCTAAACAATCGACTATCATTTAAATTCATAGATAAACTTTTGTGAATCGACTATCATTTAACTTCAAAGATAAACTCTTGTGAAATTTGCCTGATATAAATTTGACCCAAGTCAAAGTCATGACCTAATTTATCGCTAACATATATTCACGGTGCACAATGCAGCTCTCGCATTGTATGATTGAGATGAACACATCCAATTTGTTAATGTTTTCCTGTATGTTTGATGCAGTCTTGCAATGCAATCCAGCCATCCAAGAAACTTTGCGCGAGACGTTTTCTTGGATGGTTTTCTTGGATAGCTTGATTTCATCGAGGGCTTCTGTTTTAAAGAAAATTTGTAAGCTTTGCTGAACTGTTGAGTAATTAGAACTGCCAGTATTTCAGTATCTAACGTGTAGTTATTGTTACTGTATTTTATTTATGCATATTTCGGCCTTTTTTAAGCAGATAACGAACGATATTAAGAAACACCTACAGGAAATAATATCTAGGTCTCTACCGCGACGAAATATTTCTACCTCGAGTTTTCAAAGAAATTCATGAATGAAATCCTTTGAAAACTCTCGATAGAAATATTTCGTTTTCGCGGTATCGTCCAAGAATGTATAATCTGTTTCTGGCAGTAATAATCATGGTTATGTAAATTAAGGCAAATGCACACTATTATATTTCGATTAACCATGCACTATCACAATTAGGGGCACATCAGTCGAGTGACCAGTGACCACTGAATGACGGAGATGATTTCGAAATTGGCCGTTTTATTTTTTTCCGGCTACCGAGCCCCGAGTCTGCTCCCACACCAGTGACCTCCCTCAACTTACCTTCCCGCGGTGAGTCTCAGGACAGACTGTTCATCCGCACTGACTCTGACTCCCTCGAAAACAGCAGTGGTGGCTATTTGATATCGACCACCCTTGCAGCCAGGTTAACCGTAATTAAGTCGTAGCTTCACGGTTGTGTAAAGACTTTGACGGGGCCTCGTGAACCCACCTTCACGAACGGACCATGAACCCCATTTGATGACTTGTTGGCTTATGGTAAACCACTACCTGTCACTCGACACTGTCACTTTAATGCCACGGTCCCCGGAACCGCTTATGTTTGTGGTAATTAATCGCGGCAGGCTGTGCTAAATTATTCTAAGCAAGCATCACATAAGCAAACTCCAAATCATTCTGTACCCGCTCCACCCAGTGGAACTTGTTCACCCATGCTGCCTTTATTAAAGGTAAATCAACGGATGTGTCTTCCCCTGACTTGTTGCTCTACTCCTGCTCATTTCGAGAGACTTGAATCGGAAAGTTACTGAGAATACGATTCTAAGCAGAAATACCGAAGCTACCACTGTCAACAGTTAGGACAGCCCAGCTATTTACTTTTTTAGTTTCTGAAAGTTGAGTGATTGTTTTCATTTTTTCGTCTTAGCTCATCGAACCCACACCCAAAACCACATGAAACGCATACAACAATCACATCATCTCATATATGCACGACAAATATGTCCATCAACACCGACTGGCTTTCGCATAGCCCACAACAACCCTCCATTCACGAACCTGCACAAAATAGCAACATAAGTGCTATGGGCTAGGATTCGTCACGTGTGCGTTTGGCCTGTCGTGTGCACCTGTCCTGTCCAGTGATAGAGAGCCTCGTCTCCCGCACTAGCACTTTCGGGCTCAATGGGATCACCAGACCCGTCCAGCAGAAGCCACGGCAAAGAGGTCCTCCGCCACCGTGACATGACCTGGGTCACGCCTGGGGGCGGTGATTCGAGGTCATGAGATGCCTCCACTGGCCCCACAGGCTCCTTACGAAGTGCTTCAGAGGGCGGCGGCGACTGGGGCGATGCTAGGTGGTCGGTTGTGGAACTACTGACACCAACGGCTTCGCCATTAGATGTCGCGCAGGTCTGCGGAGTTTCTGTAATCCCTGCCGGCGCCATGAAGACTGGAAACGCTGACAGGGCGCGGACGGATTTCACCAGTTTGGCCAGCAGTGATCTGTGTTCTGCGGCAGACTGGGTGTCTCTGTCCCTCCGTCTCTCTGTCTCGGCTCGGGGCGGCGTGGAGGCGTCTCCGCCTGCGCCGCTCTCACCCACGGTACCGACAGTTCCCAGCTCACCGCCTGTCTTCTCACCGCCTCTCCGGGGCCAGGAGCAGCCCTCCGGAGAGTGGCCACCCTCCCTCTCCCCCACCCTCTCTCCCTCTCCCTCCATCTCCCTCTCCCGCCCCTCTATCCCCTCGACCTCCCTGGCCAGAGTTTCCACACTGACCCCGGTCAGGCGACTCGCCCGGGAGGGTGGCGCCGAGCCGCGACTCGACACACGGCCCGCCGGCGAGGTCGAGCCACTGGCCCTCGACGGTGGCTGCACGGGCGGGCCGGGCCGGACCCTGTTCTTGTGCAGCGCCTCCGATAAAAAACGACACCGAGGACTGGCCTGTTTGGAGGGGGATTTGGTGCGAGGTGCCGCGAGCCCACGGATGTACTCGTAGGTGGTCATGTCACGGGCCATGATGTAGACGTGGAAGAGGAGCAGGTGGATGAGAAGGATCCCGCAGAGGAGTGAGAGCAGAGCGAAGACTCCGGCTGTTGAGAAAAAGACGGAGCGAGGCGCTGGGAGGCCGAACATGGTCATCCTTGGAGAACAGAAAGCGCCGGAATCCGCCTCGTAACCGTCGGGACTCATCTCCATCGTTCCCTCCTCAATCGGCCCCAGAGCCTGTGTGCCGTTCACACACTTCACACAATCCCCGAGTCTCTCGGGACTGAGATAGAGAAGCACAATCTCCCCAGCGGAGAGAGCCAGAACCAGAAGAGCCACCGCTGCAGCGCTGGTCACACACGCCAGAAACCAGCCGTAATTCCTTCTTCCAATGCAGTGGTTCAACCACTTACAGTGATGATCGAATTGATCGACGCACTTGTTACACACGGAACAATGTTTCGTCCTTGTTGACGTGATTCCGATGTTGCACAGATGACATCGCCCGTTTTCGATAACATGGGCGTGCACGTTTCTGTCAAACTCTGGCACTGGGACTCGCTCCCTTCTCGCTCGAAGGTCACCATGTGCAGGGTCCAGCAAAGTCGCCACAATATGCGTCACACCGTGAACTAGGAGAACCACGACGGCCAGCACGGCAGCGGGGAGTCTCAGCGGCGGGCACAGCGCCGGCACCAGCACGCCTCCCATGACAGCAGCTGACAGCAGCAGCAGCAGCCAGGCGGCCAGCTGCTGACCGTGCAGCGGCAGCTGCAGGCCGTGCTCGCGCCGCCAGCGGCGGTACTCGGGAGCGACCAGCTGGTCGGCCGGCGTGCGGCACGGACCGCGGTCAGACATCGTGACGACACTTCAGCGAACGGCAGGGCGGCTGGCGATGGCCGAGCTTCGTTTCAGGAACGGCAGAGCTGCGCTTCAGTGAACCGAAGAGTGTTCGAAGGACAGCCGGACGAATGGAGCTTGGCTACAACAAGCAAGAGCTTCGTCGATCGCTCGAATCGATCTTGGCTAGATCGATCGATCGCTCTTGGCTAGGCTGGAGGGCGGCGCAAAGTGTCTCGAAGAAGATAGGTGTACTGATGAATCGATGAGTAGACGGTGGCGACGGCAGGGGTCGCTGGTGGCTGAAGGAGCTGGTCGCCAGAATGCCGATGGCGTCGCCTGCCGTCACTGATATTGATTGCCATATTCAGCAAACAACACCGTCGCCATTTGCATCGGTTCCTGTCAGCTTCTGATATCTTTGAAAACCTCAGCGGTCGAATGCATCACCAACGTCTTTCACCGGTCCTCGACCTTCACTTCGCTGTACAAAACGTTCACCAAACAACACCAGCCTCACACACATCACCAACAGTTTTTACTCGGCACCAGCTCCTCTCAGCTGACCCTCTGTCCTCTCTTCACTCTCTCGGCTTTCTGCTCTGAGCCCTCCGTGCCCGTCCTCTCGGATCCATCCTTATTGGTCGCGGCACGTCCGGTCGATGGTCACAGGCCTGATTAGAGGTACGCCCCCTCGCGGAGCTCCTAAACTTAGCCTCAGGATGAGAAACAGGATGTGGCTTAGGTCATTGGGCTTGTGGGATGACTGACGGTGTCCCGACTGTCTTGTTTCGCAAACGCTGGAATCTGCTTAAATTTAGACGGTTGTGTAGTTGTATTGCTAGTAGGAGCAAAGCTTATGCCTTGTACATGAGTGAAATAGATTTAGAATGCTGAAAATCAAGTTTTATGCTTAGTTAGTTAATTCAAATGCATTTTGCGTCAACTTGCACCCCATATTTGCCTCGAATTGAACGGAAACAGCTCGAAAATTACGTTTTAGAGTCACGTGCTCGACGTTCACTACTACTTTTCATCGGCTGCAATTAGTTCTTGCAAGCATAATTCGCTCTCGCATGAACGATTTAAAGGCAGTATCACGATTTCACCGAGACGTATTGTCGTCCATGAGCTGTTGGCTATTTGTTCCCTTTGGAATAGCCCTTGACAGATAATTGAATCGGTTGGTAAGTTTCCCCATAGAAAGGTACGTTGTATGAAGCTAGGACGTGTATTACATACTAAACACAAGGAGGAACACAGCGCAAAATACAAAAAAAAAAAATACTTCTTTCACATATGTTTTCCACGAGAGACGGGTACCTACCATTGCGGTGAAGGCATTTTTCAGTCACTATATTCCAGCACTCAAAAGTCTGCAGATATCGTTCAAGAGCCAACATAGGGCTGTGCAAGTGCCTTGATAGCAAACAGACCTTGAATCACTCTAACTAAAACAACAACAAACCACGAGAAAACTTCAACACAGCCCTTATAAAAAAGTGACCACGCAAAGAACAGCTCTTAACGTTTATAGCACGACACACAGCTTGAAATGAGACACACTATGAGCAACAAACGCTGGTAACACATTTCACAGAAGGAAAAGTCCATATGCTGTGTCGTAACACAAATACTGTAATATCACAGTTATTTCCAAGTAATACCACACCAAAGGCATTCAAGTGGTTCTAGGCAAACGTGCATCAGCAAATCGGTGCATTCACTCAGGTCGCTCGTAAAACAAAAGTGACATTTTGGTTTTTGATGTTTCAAAAATTGTGTCATGCTTTCCAAATGACAAGAGCGATTGCTTTTACTGGCATCTAGGGTACAATCTCTGGTTATTGAAAATGTTACATCGAATGGAACTGCAGTAAGGCCCGGGCAGCGCTTGTCGAACAGCACTGCGGATCCGAAGGTTGGGACTTTAATTGTGAAAAAAACGCCCGCCCGCCTGCCGCCAAACGCAAACACCGCAAAACGCGCAAAACTCACGCCTAAAACGCCAACGCAAACTTCGCAAAAAAAAACAATCGCCCGCCCGCCAAAAACCGCAGAAAAAAAACGCACAAAATGCCGCAAAAAAAAACGCGCGTCCGCCGCAAAACACAAACACCGCAAAAAACGCAAACACCGCCGCCGCAAAAAAACGCCCGCATCGCCCGCCGCCAACCGCGAAACGCCGCAAAAAACGGCCGCACGCCGCAAACCGCAAAACGCCGCAAAAACGGCCGCACGCCGCAAACCGCAAAACGCCGCAAAAACGGCCGCCCGCCGCAAACCGCTAAACACCGCAAAAACGACCGCCCGCCGCTAACCGCAAATAACGGCCGGTCGCCGGCAACCGCAAAACGCCGTGAAAAACGGCCGCCCGCCGCAAACCACAAAACGCCGCAAAAAAACGGCCGCCCGCCGCCAAACGCAGACAGCAAAAACACCCGCATCGCCCGCCCGCCGCCGCCAAACACAAAAGCCGCAAAAACGCAAACACCGCCGCAAAAAAAAACGCCCGCAACGCACGCACGCCCGCCGCCAACCGCAAAACGCCGCAAAAAAACCGCCTGCCGCCAAACGCATACACCGCCAAAAACGCAAAAACGGCCGCCCGCAGTCAAACGCAAACCCCGAAAAAAACGCAAACGACGCCGCAAAAAACGCCCGCCGTAAGAAAAATGCTAACACTGACGCATTAAGACAAATATGGCGCCCTGCGGCAAATGTGGTGCAATCATATCTGCCGTTTAAGCAGCCATCCCTTAATTACAGCGCATCCTAATCGTCCAATGTTCGACAAAGTTACGCACATTCTGCGCTTTGCGGCAAAAATGGCGCTTTGAGACAAACGTGGCGCACTGCAACAAACATGGCGCATTCGTTCATGTCGCTTAACAATTCATCCACCCACCAAATTCTAGCCCAATCGGACTTAAACTGAAAAAAGTTATGTACATTTGAATATTTCACTATAAAATATCTCCGCAACGGAGGTGCCCAGATTTGCACGTGTGCCACGTGACCACCGGTGGTGTAAGCAGGAATTGTCCCCTCACTGATTGCACCATTTTAGTGTTCCTGGCTTGTGCTGTTTTGGTGCTATAAGGCCACAAATCGGCAAACACACGATAATCTGGGAGGTACGCGACTCAAACACGTGGCCACGTGGCACGTGCCGGACCTCTGATAGCTTCACCGTTCACGCCACGTGATGACCCATCGACGTGGCCATCAGCATATAAAAGATGACCCCGGCCGGTGTCACCGTCCCTGAACAGTGGACGGCTAAAGTCGAAAAACGGGAAAATTTAGGGAAATTTCACCTTTCGAATATATAATTTCCCCAGAATTTTGAATTTTTCATTTTACAAAAAATCCGAGATAGCAGTTTTTTAGCCCCCTTCATTCTGTGCCTACACCCGTTTTCAGATCGACCCTATCATAAAAACTGACGGCCTGACGGCCAATTCCCCCATTCCTTGGATTTCACAATGCTAGTATATTTAAGCACCAAAATTGACCCCGTGCCACGGCACGTGCAATAGCACGTGCGCCACGTGACCACTAGTGCGACAAGCTGGACTCATCTGCTCACCGGCTGCGTTGATTTGGTGTCGCTAGGTGGAGTGGTTTCCACGCCATAGGACCTCCAGTTGGCCAATGTCGGATTTTCCCGGAAGTTACCCCATCAAACACGTTTGCACGTGGCACGTGCTTTTCAATCGCCCCATATCTGACCCATATTATGTGGTAGCCGACACCCCGGGGCACAACATATTGGAACTTTTTCAAAATCTAACGTGGAAATTTTTGGCAAAATTGATTTGAAAATAATTTTTCGAATTCGCCATAGGCTCAACATGGGGTAACTATTTGTGACGATTACCCGAAATGTTGTCAATTATATTTTAAATAATTACCACCATGAGATGGGGTCCCGGCCCGAGATTCGACCCTAAAAATATAATTCATTTCTAACGTGGAGTTTTTGCGCAAATCGCATTTTAAATTTTTCCCCATGTTAACCCTATGGGAAAATGCACGTGCCGATTACCCCAAAACGGGTTAATTATATTTCAAGCGACCGATGCCAGCTGGTAGCTCCCCGATACGGGACCAAACGCTGAAAATGGCAAGAAAATCTATCGAGCCGTTTTCGCGGGGATCAAAATGACCAAAATCGCGGCAGAAACGCTAAACACCCCCCTAGAGAGGTAGCTCAGGTTGGGATTTTCAATAGAAAATCACAATTCTAAAGAATAGTGATTGTCTAATTGAAAAGTCCCAACCTTCGGATAGGCCCGGGCAGCGCTTATCGAACAGCACTGCGGATCCGAAGGTTGGGACTTTAATTGTGAAAAACCGCCCGCCCGCCGCAAAACGCAAACACCGCAAAACGCGCAAAACGCACGCCCAAAACGCCAACGCAAATGTCGCAAAAAAAACCAAAAAAATCGCCCGCCCGCCGAAAACCGCAGAAAAAAACGCACAAAATGCCGCAAAAAACGCGCGTCCGCCGCAGAACGCAAACACCGCCGCCGCAAAAAAACGCCCGCATCGCCTGCCGCCAACCGCGAAACGCCGCAAAAAACGGCCGCACGCCGCGAACCGCAAAACGCCGCAAAAAACGGCCGCCCGCCGCAAACCGCCAAACGCCACAAAAAAAAACGACCGCCCGCCGCCCGCCGCTAACCGCAAATAACGAACGCCGTAAAAAAAACGGCCGCCCGCCGCAAACCACAAAACGGCCGCCCGCCGCAAACCGCAAAATGCCGCAAAAAAAACGGCCGCCCGCCTCAAACCGCCGCTAAAACGGCCGCCCGCCGCCAAACGCAAACAGCAAAAATACCCGCATCGCCCGCCCGCCCGCCGTCAAACACAAAAACCGCAAAAAACGCAAACACCGCCGCAAAAAACGCCCGCAACGCACGCACGCCCGCCGCCAACCGCAAAACGCCGCAAAAAACGGCCGCCCGCCGCCAAACGCAAACACCGCCAAAAACGCAAAAACGGCCGCCCGCCGTCAAATGCAAACACCGAAAAAACGCAAACACCGCCGCAAAAAAAACGCCCGCCGTAGGCAAAACGCAAACACTGACGCATTAAGACAAATATGGCGCCTTGCGGCAAGTGTGGTGCATTCATATCTGCCGTTTAAGCAGCAATCCCTCAATCAAAGCGCACCCTAATCGTCCCATGTTCGACAAAGTTACGCACATTCTGCGATTTGCGGCAAAAATGGCGCTTTGAGACAAACGTGGCGCACTGCAACAAACATGGCGCATTCGTTCATGTCGGTTAACAATTCATCCACCCACCAAATTTTAGCCCAATCGGACTTAAACTTACAAAGTTATGTACATTTGAATATTTCACTATAAAATATCTCCGCAGCGGAGGTGCCCAGATTTGCACGTGTGCCACGTGACCACCGGTCGTGCAAGCAGGGCTTGTCCCCTCACCGATTGTTCCATTTCAGGCTTCCTGACTGCTGCTGTTTTCGTGCTATAAGGCCACAAGTTGGCTTATACACGATAATCTGGGAGGTACTCGACTCAAACACGTGGCCACGTGGCACGTGCCGGACCTGTGACAGCTTCACCGTTCACGCCACGTAATGACCCATCGACGTAGCCATCAGCATGTAAAAGATTATCCCGGCCGGTGTCACCGTTGATGAACAGTGGACGGCTAAACTCGAAAAACGAGAAAATTTAGGGAAATTTCACCTTTCTAATATATAATTTCCCTAGAATTTTTAATTTCTCATTTTACAAAAAATCCGAGATAGCAGTTTTCTAGCACCGTTCATTCTGTGTCTATACCCGTATTCAGATCGACTCTATCATAAAAACTGACGGCCTGACGGCTATTTCCCCCATTCCTTGCATTTCACAATGTTGGTGTATTTAAGAACAAAAATTGACCCCGTGCCACGGCACGTGCAATAGCACGTGCGCCACGTGACCACTGGTGCGACAAGCTGGACTCATCTGCTCACCGGCTGCACTGATTTGGTGTCGCTAGGTGGAGTGGTTTCGGAGCCATAGGACCCCCAGTTGGCCAATGTCGGATTTTCCCGGAGGTTACCCCATCAAACACGTTTGCACGTGGCACGTGCTTTTCAATCGCCCCATATCTGACCCATACCATGTGGTAGCCGACACCCCGGGGCAGAACATATTGGAACTTTTTCAAAATCTAACGTGGAATTTTTTTGCAAAATCGATTTGAAAATAATTTTTTGAAATCGCCATAGGCTCAGCATGGGGTAACTGTCCTTAACGATTACCCAAAATTTTGTTAATTATATTTTAAATAATTACCATCATGAGGTGGGGTCCCGGCCCGAGATTCGACCCTAAAAATATAATTCATTTCTAACGTGGAGTTTTTGCGCAAATCGCATTTTAAATTTTTCCCCATGTTAACCCTATGGGAAAATGCACGTGCCGATTACCCCAAAACGGGTTAATTATATTTCAAGCGACCGATGCCAGCTGGTAGCTCCCCGATACGGGACCAAACGCTGAAAATGGCAAGAAAATCTATCGAGCCGTTTTCGCGGGGATCAAAATGACCAAAATCGCGGCAGAAACGCTAAACACCCCCCTAGAGAGGTAGCTCAGGTTGGGATTTTCAATAGAAAATCACAATTCTAAAGAATAGTGATTGTCTAATTGAAAAGTCCCAACCTTCGGATAGGCCCGGGCAGCGCTTGTCGAACAGCACTGCGGATCCGAAGGTTGGGACTTTAATTGTGAAAAACCGCCCGCCCGCCGCCAAACGCAAACACCGCAAAACGCGCAAAACGCAAGCCGAAAACGCCAACACAAACTTCGCAAAAAAACAATCTCCCGCCCGCCGAAAACCGCAGAAAAAAAACGCACAAAATGCCGCAAAAAAACGCGCGTCCGCCGCAAAACACAAACACCGCAAAAAACGCAAACACCGCCGCCGCAAAAAAAACGCCCGCATCGCCCGCCGCCAACCGCGAAACGCCGCAAAAAACGGCCGCCCGCCGCGAAACGCAAAACGCCGAAAAACGGCCGCCCGCCGCAAACCGCTAAACGCCGCAAAAAACGACCGCCCGCTGCCCGCCGCTAACCGCAAATAACGGGCAACCGCAAAACGCCGCAAAAAACGGCCGCCCGCCGCAAACCGCAAAACGCCGCAAAAAACGGCCGCCCGCCGCAAACCGCAAAACGCCGCAAAAAACGGCCGCCCGCCGCAAACCGCCGCTAAAACGGCCGCCCGCCGCCAAACGCAAACAGCAAAAACACCCGCATCGCCCGCCCGCCCGCCGCCAAGCACAAAAACCGCAAAAAACGCAAACACTGCCGCAAAAAACGCACGCCCGCCCGCCGCCAACCGCAAAACGCCGCAAAAAACGGCCGCCCGCCGCCAAACGCAGCCACCGCCAAAAACGCAAAAACGGCCGCCCGCCGTCAAACGCAAACCCCGAAAAAACGCAAACACCGCCGCAAAAAAACGCCCGCCGTAGGCAAAACGCAAACACTGACACATTAAGACAAATATGGCGCCCTGCGGCAAATGTGGTGCATTCATATCTGCCGTTTAAGCAGCCATCCCTTAATTACAGCGCATCCTAATCGTCCAATGTTCGACAAAGTTACGCACATTCTGCGCTTTGCGGGAAAAATGGCGCTTCGAGACAAACGTGGCGCACTGCAATAAACATGGCGCATTCGTTCATGTCGCTTAACAATTCATCCACCCACCAAATTCTAGCCCAATCGGACTTAAACTTGCAAAGTTATGTACATTTGAATATTTCGCTTTAAAATATCTCCGCAACGGAGGTGCCCAGATTTGCACGTGTGCCACGTGACCACCGGTGGTGCAAGCAGGACTTGTCCCCTCACTGATTGCACCATTTCAGTGTTCCTGGCTTGTGCTGTTTTCGTGCTATAAGGCCACAAATCGGCAAACACACGATAATCTGGGAGGTACGCGACTCAAACACGTGGCCACGTGGCACGTGCCGGACCTCTGATAGCTTCACCGTTCACGCCACGTGATGACCCATCGACGTGGCCATCAGCATATAAAAGATGACCCCGGCCGGTGTCACCGTCTCTAAACAGTGGACGGCTAAAGTCGAAAAACGGGAAAATTTAGGGAAATTTCACCTTTCGAATATATAATTTCCCCAGGATTTTGAATTTTGCATTTTACAAAAAATCCGAGATAGCAGTTTTTTAGCCCCCTTCATTCTGTGCCTACACCCGTTTTCAGATCGACCCTATCATAAAATCTGACGGCCTGGCGGCTATTTCCCCCATTCCTTGCATTTCACAATGCTAGTATATTTAAGCACCAAAATTGACCCCGTGCCACGGCACGTGCAATAGCACGTGCGCCACGTGACCACTAGTGCGACAAGCTGGACTCATCTGCTCACCGGCTGCGTTGATTTGGTGTCGCTAGGTGGAGTGGTTTCCACGCCATAGGACCCCCAGTTGGCCAATGTCGGATTTTCCCGGAGGTTACCCCATCAAACACGTTTGCACGTGGCACGTGCTTTTCAATCGCCCCATATCTGACCCATACCACGTGGTAGCCGACACCCCGGTGCACAACATATTGGAACTTTTTCAAAATCTAACGTGGAAATTTTTGGCAAAATTGATTTGAAAATAATTTTTTGAATTCGCCATAGGCTCAACATGGGGTAACTGTTTGTGACGATTACCCGAAATTCTGTCAATTATATTTTAAATAATTACCACCGTCAGTTGGGGTGCCAGCCCGAGATCCGACCCTAAAAATATCAGCAAATATAATTGACGAAATTTTTCGCAAATCGCATTTTAAATTTTCCCCCATGTTAACCCTATGGGAAAATGCACGTGCCGATTACCCCAAAACGGGTTAATTATATTTCAAGCGACCGATGCCAGCCGGTAGCTCCCCGATACGGGACCAAACGCTGAAAATGGCAAGAAATTCTACCGTGCCGTTTTTGAGGGATTCAAAATGACCCAAATCGCGGCAGAAACGCTAAACACCCCCCTAGAGAGGTAGCTCAGGTTGGGATTTTCAATAGAAAATCACAATTCTAAAGAATAGTGATTGTTCTTAATTGAAAAGTCCCAACCTTCGGATACAAATTATAATAAGGCGATTAAAGCAGGAAAGATGCCCGTACCAAACGGCAAGCGCAGGAGCTCGGGGACTGCATCGACTCCCCGTTAGAGCGAAGTGCAGAGCGGTATAGAGGTCGGCGCTGTTCGGGAGACCTCCAGTCGCCGTTGCTTTTCTCCGGTCATCCACAGACTAGATGGAACTTCACAGCCAGTCTAACGGTAAGCTGGGGGGAGGTGCAAGAGGCAAGTGAGCCAATGAAAGGTCAGAAACGACCCTGACGAATATTGCAATGAGGGAGGCATGAATTTAATGCGATAAGGAAGAGAGGTGAATAAGTTCACGATGTGCTTCACACAGAAGTCGAATAAGTGACGAGATAGTTCAGTGTTGGTTTGCATGGAGTGTGAAATACCCCGAAATAGTAACGTGCTCAGAGCGTGCATCTGTACAATAATTTTCCTTGCCGAATTTCATCACACATCAAGAGTTTAATCCAAAATTCTTCTAAAATTGCAGAGTATGGTACATTTATTACGCAGATGCTAGTGAGCACAGGTTTAAACGAGAAATGAAAATCCGTTTAAGTGCATATTCTTATATACACAAACGAAATGAGAAGTTTTCCTCACTTCAAAGTGAACCTTTTTCGTTTAAATGGTTGGCTGCCTATTCTTGTGTAAACCGGACGGACAACATATAAAGTAGTGCATAAAAAAGAGAGGTGAAAAACGATGCTTTTGGTTTTGGATGAGAACATGTCGGATAATCGTTGTTCTCTGTCTTTGGGTTGATTTAGAGATGTTTTCGACTTATGCTGTATTTTCATCGATATGGCCTTTTGTCGGGGCATTGTCGATTAATACGTTGATCTAGATCCGCCCGAGTAAGTATTTGTTTCGTTCGGTTCTGAAAACGTCGTCGTAATGTCATACACAGATATCATATATGAAACATGAAAATCATATTAATTAGACATAAAAGGGAAGGAAAGGTCAATCACGAGAAGTCATCATGAAACAGTCTAATATTCGGATCGTTACAAAGAAAGGATGCAATGGTAATGACATACTCGAAATCGGCATGATGACAAACACTGACATTGATGAATCGACATATAATGTGAAAACAAAACATTACACTCTTAGGCTTAGCAGTACCTAGCAGTACAGCCCTTATCTACTCGTATTGTCCTTTAATCGTAAAAACCGTTTATTGTACGTCAGAAATGAACACAATGACGTTTCGGGTCGCAGTCTCGCTATTGTACCGTACCTCCGGGATGTTTAATCCTGTTCTTCAGGTCGGTGTTCTGCTCATAGAGCCTGTCGATGTTTCTCTTCAGGTCAGTGGTCTCCTGTTCGCGCTGTAAACGGGAGAAATGGGTAAAAGTAGCAGCATTCAGAGTGTGAACCAGTTATTCAACGCTGCACCGAATTGCGCCATTGCAATCATTTAACGCTTTCTTACGGTATCAAGATCCACCTTTGTCTCTCTTTCAAAATTTATTTGGGAGAATTCTCCTAACATTATTAGCACTCTACCTTAGGAGCTAGCCATTACCAAGAGCTAACACTTCTGACAAGCAGGTAAGCAGCCACAGATCAGGACCGGTGTACGTCAAATGCCAAACGATTCACGAAGTCCTTATTGCACCTTAGCACACACTCCCTTCACCAGCCAAGTGATGTGTCTCTTACCGTCCTCTTTCCTTCCTTGATCTTGCCTCCGATGACCCGGTTGATGGTCTGCATGGCCTCTGACAGCTTGGTCACTGAGGTATGGGACTGGTCCACGGCCTTCTCCAGCCGGGCCTGCGGGAGAAGCGTAGGGAAAGAAATGAAAAGAGGGGGAGTATGTGAACGCAGTGATCTTCCTAGCTCGCCAACCACATCGCTTAACCTTGCCCGCCCAAGTTACATTTACTAGTTAGTTCTTTCCAACCGTCCCTTCCTTCTCGCTCCCAGCCTCTCTCTCTCTCTCTCTCTCTTTCTCTCTCTCTCTCTCTCTCTCTCTCTCTCTCTCTCTCTCTCTCTCTCTCTCTCTCTCTCTCTCTCTCTCTCTCTCTCTCTCTCTCTCTCTCTCTCTCTCTCTCCCTCTCACCATTTCGGCTGCCTTCTTTTCCTCCTCGTCCACCTTCTTCCTCACGTCGGCGGTCAGATCCTCGACCTCCTGACGACGCTGGACGTCCTGCTTCTCCAGTTTCTCCAGCGTCTCCGTCTCCATGGCCACCACACGGTCCTGCAACTGGTTGATCTCCTGGGGAGACTCCTGATAAAATGGAGAAACGAAAGTGAGAAAGGAAAGTGGGAGAGGGTTGTTCCGATGACGAAATATGCGCTTTGTGCGTCATTTATTTGGACGAAGGGTGCAAGATTTTAATAGAAAAAAAAATTTGTCCCAGAGCAAATGCAGTACCTATGTTAGTGTTGGTGAGATATCAGACACAAATGTTGCTTTTATTGTGTGTCAAAAATATAGACGGCATTCGTCTTGGATCAGCTAAATTGCGATATGAATCTTGCGTTAGGTAAAACTACGTTTACAAGCAGCAAACAGTTAAACATGAGGGATTTTACACTTCCGAATAAATGATTAAATCTCCCCTTCCGTCTCCATGTGGCATATCTTACCTTGACCCTTTCGTCGAGGTTCTCGATCTGTTTCTTGAGTCTCTCCTGTGAGAAGGTGATGGTGTCTGCCTTCCTCGTCAGTTCGTCTCCCATCACCCCCAACTCGTTACTGTCACTCTTCTCCGCCTGTCAGGGAGAAGATAAATAAATAAAATCCCAGCACAATATTTCATGGTTATCAGCCAGAACCAATATCAGATTAAGAACTGATACTTATTTACGATGTAAGACAGAAGATTAGGCGACGACTATATGTTTGCGACGACTATGAACCACACGAAGTAAACGGTCAGTATAAACGAAAGTAACCGTAAGCAATGGCTAGACGTTTCTGACCATTAAACCATTTTTCGTCCCTCTCCCCCCCCCCCGACCACGGACCCCTTTTCGGTTAACCGAGCGGCGACCACTGACCATTTTGAGTTTGTTCCGTAGGACCACTGACTATTTTAAGTTTGTCCCGTAGGACCACTGACCATTTTGAGTTTGTCCCGTAGGACCACTGACCATTTTGAGTTTGTCCCGTAGGACCACTGACCATTTTGAGTTTGTCCCGTAGGACCACTGACCATTTTGAGTTTGTCCCGTAGGACCACTGACCATTTTGAGTTTGTCCCGTAGGACCACTGACCATTTTGAGTTTGTCCCGTAGGACCACTGACCATTTTGAGTTTGTTCCGTAGGACCACTGACCATTTTGAGTTTGTTCTCGATGACCTCGTCCTGCTGCTCGATGCGCGTGCTGAGCTCCGAGAGCTGCAGCTCCTTGGCCGCCAGGTCCTTCATCAGCTGCTCACGCGCACCGGTCGTGTTCATATTCTGAAGGCGCTCAATCTATAGAGACGGCAGAGGAAGGGGTCACAGGTTTCGGTAGATTGCGCGGTCAAATTTTACTTTATTCGTCGCCACCTAGCGAGCAGCGACAAAAAAGCAAGTACTTCGAAAATGTCAAATGAATTGAGGAAAAGACAATATGCGGTTGCAATCAGTTGTCATGCCCATATGAAGTATGAATCGAATTGAAAAAACGATCGTCAACGTAAATTGGTTTTATTTTTATTACCTCCTCCATGGATAGTCCGCCCGGCGGCGCCTTCTCCCCCGGTGGTAGCTCGGACTGGGCCGCCATCAGCGAGGCCATAGCGATCCGCAGACGGTCTCCTACGTCATCCAGACGCTCGTCCATCACCTGGTGGGACGTGGTGGGGTGGTGAGAGGTGGTGGAGGGATGGCGGGAGACGGTGGAATAGGCGGGAAGACGTTACCTAATAGGCGGTAGGGGAAATTCTATGTCGTAGACGTTGGTAGACACTTGACGTTGGTAGAGAAAGGATCGAGGTGGAAGAATGACGGTTCTGATTATATTAATGTAAACATGTACGAATCCTCATTTAATTAATTTTCACGTTTAAATCCATTTCTCTTTCAATAAAACGTTTAAATCAGCGTTCGACTACACGTGATCGTATTTAGTCTTCTATCGGCGGAGGAATAGGTATATGTCTCGCTATAACTACGAACAAATGACTACGTATTTTATACGTCAAATGCATTCGCATTGGCTCCTCCACCCACTCTCCGTAATTCTGAACATACCCTGTCCAGTTTGCGTCTCTCGTCCCGCTGTTTCTCGAACAGTTTGTCGATCTCCTCTTGGTCCTTGTCCCTCTTGCTCTCCACTTGGTCCAGGCGCTCCAGCAGCTCCCGGAAGCGCTGCTTTGTCTGCTCGTGCTCGCCCTGAACGTGGGGAAGACGTGGTGGGAAAGATCAGTTGGATATACTTCCTAGTGTGCTATTCATTTATCACATCCAATATTGCACGAACTATACCTATCGGACGTCGTATGTAATAACGATTTTAGGTATGAGGTATGTGCAAATCGATCGATCACGGGATGCAGTCAAGCATTCAAAGGGGAAAAATATGGACACCCTTTACACCTGGAAAGGCTGGCTAAGAAATAACTATCGATGCACTAAAAAGCACGACCCAATGCCCATTTTCTTTTCTTTTTATACCCAGCATACGCTCTAACATCACGGACCCCTCGAAGGCGCGTCCTTCCCGTTCAAGTATCTCTTTCTCGTACCTCGGTCAGTTTGGTGACGCCTCTGAATCCATCGTCGCTGTACTGGGAGATCTCTGTCAGCTTTCTCTCCACCTCGTTCTTGAGGTCTGCCTCGCGCTGTGTTCGGTCCGACACCTCCTTCTGCAGCTTCTGCTCCAGATCCTTCAGCTGCGCCTTCAGCTCCTTCTCCTCGGCGTCAGCACGACTGGAGGCCGATCGGCTGGGAGAGAAGGAAAGAGACGCAAAGGGATGATAACCCGCGCCGGGCCGGGGGGGGGGTGTTTGAACACCCCCTTGCGGTTTTTCGCAGATATCTCAAAAACGGCGGCGCGGAGCGCCGCCGTTTTTGGCACACCTGTTCGTGCATCTTTTCCGCACATGTTGTGAAAATTTCAGACTCAGGTCACCTTAGGTCAGGTCACCAGGTCACGCCAAGTGACCTCACCTCAGAAAAAATAAGAATGTTCGTCATAGCTACACCGACTGAACGATTGCCTTGAAACTTTCAGCGATTGATTAGAGCAACACTATCTATAAAATGTATATCTCGGAATTTTGATATCGTTGACCTAAGGTCAGGTCAATTTTGCGGCCTCTCCATTATAAGTCAATGGGAGAAAATTGAAAAGCGCCTGTTTTGCACGAACGCTATTCTAGACACTCTCAAACATCGAGATGTAGGTAAAATAGACACACTGAATCAGAAAATGGCAACTGTGACCCCTCGTTATGTCCCCGAGGTCATCTCAGGTCACGAATAGAATCTAACAGTTTTTCGATGATAACTTCTGATAGAGGCGTGCTAGAGCGCTGAAAACGCCTTAGATGTGTTCGGCTCGACGTTGCGGATCGACTGATATGCAACATGACCTTTTCCGGTCAGGTCATGACCTTGACCTGAGGTCAAATTTTCAAGTTGACCTTTCAAGGTCAAATTATAGTTCATTCGACGCGTCTCGACGAGAGGAACACGGTGCTGGCGAAAGTAATGTCATAGCTCTTTTGAGTCCAAAGTTATTGCCGAAAAACGTTTTTCGTAAAAACGGCTATTTTTGGAGTTTTTGCCTTCTGGAGGCTAAACCGTTGACCTGAGGTCAAATCTGAGAACATTACTCAGAAAGGTCTGTAAAAGGGCTATCGAATGCGCTTTTTTGCGGCGCTGTAGCTCTATCGGTTCCCGAGATAGCCGTTGGCAGTTTCCAAAATGTTGAAATAGTGAACATTTGACCTTTGGTGACCTCTGGTGACCTGACCTTTGACCTGACCCAAAAAATGACCGAAGTGCTTTCGTCCTTATTTTGGACGTTCTTTCGATTGCCGCTTACCGCGTGTCGCTACGTGGCCCAGGAGCCGAGTTAGAAGGGGGGTGTTCAAACACCCCCCCGCGGCCCGGCGCGGAATTTCAGAGCACCGGCCCGGCGCGGGATAAGCAAGAGGGGTTAGGGAAGAAGTGTGTACTGTGTAGTGTTAGAGAGTGGTAGCAAAAAAAAAAATGATAACTTTCTTATGCTGATGAATGTTCGTTATTACTGTGCTTTTTTATAAAACAATGTTTTGTATAAAACGCTAAATGAATCAAACGTGGCTAAGAATTACAATCAAGGACCTATGCTGCGTGGGTAATAAGGGAGGTTCATATTGTTGTTGCTGGGTTAGGATGCGAAGCTTTGAGAGTGAGGGGGAGCCCAGGCGTCCAAAGGGAGATTCGTGGATTGAAGCGAAATCAAGTTTCCGCTCCAAGACCTCAGTATGCAAGAGATGACGTTCATTTCTTGTTCAAACAACATTCACATCGCAAAACAAGGAAAACGAAACGAAGTCACGACCTCCATACATACTTCAAAGCGGCCCGTCGGCTCAAAAGCATTAACAAGCTTCGCCCCAGAGCAAACATTCGTTTCCGACATCACGAAACGCCTCCTCATTCTGTTGTGTGTTTAGACTGGCCCCCACCACCTGTGACGCATTCTGGGTACGGGAACGGGGCCAAGTAGCTCAGCGGTTTCAGCAGCCACGCCCGAATCGGAACAGTTACCGCCTCGACTGGATGAATGACGTCACACTTACCATGACGTCATACTCAGGCAATGACGTCATTGTGCAGTACCAGCCTCCCGAGTCCGAATGGAAAGTCAGAATGCGTAGTGCGTTTTGTGTGGAGTATTTTTAACGTTTGCATTTTTTTTTGTTCTTTGAATATCAGTGTTCTATGTAAATACCCCCTGAGGTAGAATTTAGAAAAAAGTAATGCAAAAACTTTATTTTGTATCCCACTATGTCGTGGGTTATTAATTAATGTGTCGATGTGTGATCTCAAACACAGTTACAAATATGTTGTTTAATTTATCGACGTTTATGAGTTGCACGGTTGAAAATAACGCCGAATTCCATGCCAGTTGTGGAGCGACCCCATGACCCTGATAAAGGGTGCCAGACGACCCTCCGCTCTAAGCCAACAGGAGGAGTCTGGTGACCCAAATGTCTGCTGTCTGACGGTTCCAGCACAGTTCAATGTCTGGTCTTTGTGATTTCGCTCTAATAATGACCATAGTTCTACGCCCGCATACTTAAATATCACTGAGAGCCTCGCAGCTGGAATACGTAGCACAGGACCAAAATTATCTTATTACTTCGTTGTGAGATAACGAATGTCTGGCTTTATCTCTTTGAGGCTCGCTTTGTGATGTAGCTCGTTTAATTAATTTCTCGGCATTTCCTGAGCATACCTGGCAGAGGGTGAATTTGGAACGCGCAGGCTCATCATTTCTACAGAAAGCTCCACGACCTAAATTCCTCGTCTCATCATAATCCGCAGCACTGGCAAGTGCCCACCTCTGTTGCTTATCGAGGGTTGGTCAGTACCTATGAGTAGGAGAGCACAGCTCTAAGCCAAGACTATGATAACCGTTGTCACACGACCCTGTGCTACACTGTCATCGATTTCCAATCTTTTGACTCCCTCCAAATGTCTTATGTCTCTGTTCCCTGTCCGTCAACGTGTTGTCCAAACTTCACCATTGTCTTCCATAACCTGTCTGTCCAATATTCCTCCTGTCTACCATAGCCTACTGTCCAATATACTTCCATGACCTGTCCAGTGACCAATGGTCTAATCTCCCCACCTGTCAGCGAGCCTGCTGTCCAGCCAGCTCCGGATGCTATTCATTGTCCAATATTCCCACCTATCTAATTTAGCCTGCTGTCTGATACCCTCACCTGTCAGCGAGCCTGCTGTCCAGCCGGCTCCTGATGCTGTCCAATATTCCCACCTATCTAATTTAGCCTGCTGTCTAATATTCCCCACCTGTCCGCCAGCCTACTGTCCAGCCGGCTTCTGATGCTGTCCACTTCACTGTCCATTGCCCCCACCTATGTAATATAGTCTGCTGTCTAATACTCTTTACCTGTCAGCGAGCCTGCTGTCCAGTCTGCTCCGAATGCTGTCCACCTCTCTCTGAAGCCGCGGTACGTCCGGATCGGCCCCCGAGTCGTGTAGCTGGAGGTCTCGCACGTCTTGTTGGACCAGACGGGCGCACCCGGATACCTCCTCCTGAAGCTCACCGATCCTGGGGGAGGGGGGGGGGGGGGGTCACGGGAGTCATGGAGGGACGTCATGAGGAGGCGCCGAGGACCGTCAAGTCAGAGATTGGCGTCACATGGGCACCACTTCATTATTATACTTCAAATATCGGGATGTTGAAATAAGTTCACGATACTAAAAGACGTTTGTATTGAACAATAACTTGATATTTGCCTGTTTAGTTTAAATGCATTCACGTCCTAAAAACCAGTAAAACGCCTTTTGGGCGAAGAACGAGCGAGCGAGATAGTGAGCCCTGCACGTGCGAAATTTCGAGGGGGTACCTCCAACTGACTTGTGCACGGCACCCTACTAACCGGTCTCTAGCGACGTGCCAAATTTGAGCACAATCGGCCCAGCCGTTCTCGAGATCTGGAAGCGGCACCCTGCACGTGCGCACGTGCAAAATGGGTCCCAACTGACTTGTGCACGGCACCCTACTAACTGGTCCCTAACCGTGTACCAAGTTTGAGCGCCATCGGTCCAGCCGTTCTCGAGATCTGGAAACGACCCCTGCACGTGCGCACGTGCAGCAGCACCCCAACCTTAACACATGCAGATGAATTATCTGATGGAGACCTAACTGTGCACCGAGTTTCAATTCAATCGGCCCAACCGTTGTGCCGTTATTGAGGTTGCAATTTTGGGGGTTCTTAAAAAATGTCCAACTTTACCACGCGCCACGTGCCCGGCCGGCCGGCCGCTCATACTCAGAAATTTCCGTTAATCTAAGGAAAGACTCCGCTCGCTTCGCTCGCTCCGTAATAAATAACGGTGCAAGCGTACTGCGTAACATCTATTTACGATCGTAACAAAATAAGCCGCAGTCTGTTGATCATCCTAAACTCACTTTTGGTTTTGCACCTGCTGCGCGATGCCGTCCTTTTTGGTCTCGTGTAAGATTCTGCTCTCCACGTCCTTCAGCGAGTTCTGCAGTCGGGCCACCCTGAGAAAAAAAAACAGCAACATAGCTAGGTGTGCGGCAAGGCCATCCTTTCGAATAGAAGGCGAGTGACCACTGACCATGTTCAGCGATTTTCCAGGCTAATGCTTGGAATCGATTTCAGACAGTTCAGCCACATCGGCTACATCCATTATCCATTACCAGGTTTTTAGTTTATTATTTATTTGCTATACTAAGGGACACATTTAGACTGACTTACTTGCCCTCGAGAGCGGCTGTGGCGGGGATCCTGGAGCCACCGCTGCCTCCACCGCCACGTAGCTTTGAAAACGGATGGCAAAAGCAAGATGTTAATTAATTTTAACAGAGGCAGAGAGAGCGAAGCCAACTTTACAGCGATGACAAACGCTTTAGTGGGTGACTTACGCTCGGCTTACACTTATATAACTATTTTATTCTTTGTAGGACTATTGACCGTTTGTTCGAGGCAAACATGCGAAATGCTAATTCACAAATACATCAGGTTCGACTAAATCCATTTCTGCAGTCATTTTACCATTATTCACAAGCCTTTCCAAGTTTCATTGCCCCCTTTATGCCCTTACAGGCCACAGCCCTTTCTAATGTCCTTACCGTCCTCCGCGTTTCTTCCTCGAACATTTCCTCCTGCAGTCGTGAGGAGTGAGCCATGGCCTGCAGGTCACCACTCAGAGTCTCCACCTATCGGGGACCGGGTGACACAGCGACCGGTCAGAGGTCAAGGTCACATAGAGCTTCTACCTGAATAGCGTCCAAGCACGGGCAAAAGTCATAGCGATTATAAGGTTTCGGGGATAAATAACAAGGCGAAGAAACTCGTCTAATTTTTCCGCAAGTTTGTTTGTAATAGGATGACGTCTCTTTCTCCGTCTCTCTCTTTCTCTCTCTCTCTCTCTCTCTCTCTCTCTCTCTCTCTCTCTCTCTCTCTCTCTCTCTCTCTCTCTCGCTCTCGCTCTCGCTCTCTCTCTCTCTCTCTCTCTCTCTCTCTCTCTCTCTCTCTCTCTCTCTCTCTCTCTCTCTCTCTCTCTCTCTCTCTCCCTCTCCCTCCATCCCTTCCTCCCACAGTCCCAATCCCAGTTTGGGTCGGGGTCACACGTGCCTGCCAGCCTTTATCACCACTCCTTACCATCAGAGGTCACGGCACACTCACAAAGGTCAAAGGTCACTGAGGTCAGGCGGCAAGACAGCGCGCCCGCCCGCCCACACGGCCTGTTCACGCAATGTCTGCCTTGTATGCAGGTAGGGAGAGTGAGGGCTGGCACTCGCGGGTCCTTATTTGGCAGTGAAGTTGCGGAGAGGTTTGGAAAGCAGTGTGAGGCCGGTTTGGTGATCTGTTTGAGATGGGATCTACATGCCTATTGCCTACAGTGTGCTGGTTACGGAGTTCAGATGGTTTGAATGGAAGGTGGTTTTTGCTTGCAAGCGAACTTCCTGTTCAAAAGACGTTATCAAAATCAAGGCCATCTAAAGAAGGTACAGTCACTCCCCCGTCGACCAATCAGAGACAGATCCTGAGTGACGTCACCCCTGATGCTCGCAAGGGGTACTCCATTCCTTTGCAACGTAAAAATGACTAACTTCATTTGAAGATTATTGATGGCACTCTGCACATACCGCTCAGCCGTTGATGTCAATGGAAAGCCCAACTAATTTTCCAGCGACAAAAAAGAGCAGCAATATGCTAAGAAATGGCCGGTTTTGAAGATATAGACGATTTAAAAACCCTCTGCAGCAGCAGGAAAGCAACATAAAAACGCATCGAGCTTATATTTTTACTATGGATAAATCATTTTTCAGTAAGTTTTTAGATACGGTATAGATTTAAGTTACAACTTTATTACAATATTTTCATTACTTGAAACTTTATTTCAAAATAATATTTTCAAAAATGGCAGCTGATGGTATTAAGTAGCTTGGGAGCGATTGTGGCGCACCACGCCATTAATTGTCCTGAGGCCCCCTTATGATGTCATCAAAAGTGGAGTGACATGGGCCTGATCAAAATGACGTATGTTTCATGTATGTGATTGTATTATCAATCGGATCAAGGTGGGCAGTTAACTGCGCCCCACTGGGGTCTGCGTATAACACGCCCTACTGGGGGGGGGGGGGGGGGGGGGCTATTCATAGCCCCCCCCCCTCCTAACTCCGAAACTACTGGGCCGATCGTCAAAATTCAAACGGCGTCTGATAGCCCCGGAAAAACTGTCGAGCGAAACCTAATTTCATTGACCTCGAGGTCACCGATGACGTCACAGGTCAGGTCAAAGTAAAAATTATTAGCATTTTGGCTTCGTCACGTTTTGGGCTCTGGCCGCCGTCTTACAAGTCAGATCAGGCTCATTTTTGGTTCACACACTCGTGAACAGATGCTCTAGATACTCTGAGGGTACCAAACTTGTACTTTGATTTTCAGGTCAAGGTCAGGTTATCACAGGTCACGGAAATATTATATCATCCGTCGGTCACGTGACACATGTTTTATGGTCCATTTAGGCCAAGCATTTCGAATTTGATGTCGTCTGTGTCATTCGAGGTCATTTTGAGTCAAATTTAGCTTAGGTCAGGTCACTTTTAGGTAAAAAAAGGTCAAATTTTGAAGTTAAATTTTTTCAACAAAAAAAGGTGTCTATTGGATGCAGTTTGAGCTCAGGAACACCATACTGCTATTTATATTGGCGTACGATGTCAAATTCATGCTGAAAAATTGATTTGAAAAATTAATAATTGTTAATTTTTTGCAATAATGCGTATAACTTGACCATTTTTGAAGATATTTAGCTAAAACTTGCTAGAGTTAGTCATAATAATGCGTTCCATCACATATATTCCGTTTTTTTCGAAAAGTCAAAAACTTTTTGAAAAAAATGTAAAAATATAAATTTTGAATTTTATTATGTTTAATTTTCAATTTTTTTTTTAAATTTTGAAAATCCGAGATAGCAGTTTGATAGCGCCGTCCATTTTGAGTCCTCTCATGCAAAGAAATTGGATCTAGCTTAAAAACTGAGCTCTTGGGAGCGATTGCCGTGGTTCAATGTTTTGCGTCGAAATCGGCCGAACATGACGTCACTCTGACGTCATTTCCGGCCGACCTATGGTAGGTACGAAGTTCAAATTTTGACACAAGGTGTCAAATTGATGCAGCCGAAGTTACTGAAAGTTTGGCGTCGATACGTCAAGCGGTTTGGAAGTTATTGCAGAAAAACGGGAGGGGGGGGGCTATAAATAGCCCCCCCCCCCCAGTGGGGCGCGGGTTAAAGTTACAGAAACCGTCGTTATATGCATCATTTTATCTGATCTGACGAGGCCTGCGGCACGGAACTGAATTCCTATGAATTGGCGTCTGTTTTTTGCTTGCAATTGGGTAGTTGCCTATAGTTTGCCCTAATTAAAGGCACGCATGAGCATTGAGCAGCAATAAAGTAACAAACTTGTATTAATGTGTCTTGTCTCATCCTGTTACGGTCACTCTCACAATAGCTGTCTTTTTCATTGCGTCGAATACATCGGGCAGTGGCCATTTTCCGACAAACCGAGCCTTCGTTATTTACTTTCCTATTTATCTTAGGCAGATACGGTCGCAGACGCATTTGTTATCCTTATTGCCGCTGGACAAAGCCAAGATCAGGGACGAGCGGAGCGTGACAAAGCATCAAACAATCTTACGATTGATTCGGAACTACTTGATACAGACAGTGGCCATGAAGGGATTACAAAAGGGCAGTGGTTAAACGTGATGTCAGCTGTGGCGGCTTTCCGGGTAGGTGCGCCTCGCTTTATTTGGCTCTGTAGTGTCCGTGGTGTGCATGCAAAAGGGAAAGTGGGTGTATTGCGCCCTCCTAACCAATTGCGCCATCAACATTCCC